TGGTATCTTAGCCGATATGAAATGCACGAAGACCTCTTCACTTATAGGTGGGTTACTCTGAAAATAATTGCATGCCTTGCTTTAGAAAACTATAATTGAAATTTAACATATCTGGAGGTAAATTACATAGAGCATCACTTTGTTATATACATAGAGATGCATAGATTTGAGCTTCATTAAATAAGTTTATATAGGTACGTTCAGATTCGGCTACCTCAAACTCGCCCCCATGGTCCAGGCTGAGGCACAGACGACAGGAGAAGACAGGGGCAGATTTGTGGATTTACCTGAAGGGTTAGTTTGGCTATAGGGGCTTTACGTCTTTTTGAATGTGTCTCCCACGGCTCCAATTTGGAATAGAAAATGGATGAAATCAGAAAAAAATATTTGAATTTTCCGAAACGTGGAAATGAGCTTTGTTCAGAAGCATGACATGGATCCATGTGCTGTTGATTTTTAGTTGTAATTTCAGAATTATTTCTTCTCCAATTTCGTTGCATTGGCTCTGGACCTTACCACCGGAAGGTGAATTCAAAGGGAATAAGCAGGATAAGCAAGAGAAGCTCACTTTTGTCAAGGAAAAGGTTAGACGTCAATTCGTTGATCGATCCTACTAATACTGGTAATCTGATTGAACNAAACCCAGTATGAAATTGAGAGGATAGAGGCGATGACTTCTTTTCAGATTGGCAACTTATCAAAATCGGGTTGACGACCAACATCGGTGGAATCCGATTATTGAAAACTATCAATTGGACCGAGTTGATGAATGGTATCTTAGCCGATATGAAATGCACGAAGACCTCTTCACTTATAGGCGAGTTCCTATAAAAACCTTGCTTTATTGTAATATAATTGAAGTTGTGTCAAAAAAGAGCATCACTTTGCCTTGGCTAACATACATTTGAGCATTACTAAATAAGTCTACATATTCGTGTTCAGGTTCGGCTACCTCAAGCTCGCCCCCATGGTCCAGCCTGAGACGCAGGCAACAGAAGAGAGGGGCAGATTTGTGGATTTACCTGAAGGGTTAGTTTGGCCATCGGTGCTATATTTTCAATTTTAGCTCCCACGACTATTTTATAAAGGAAAATGGAAAAAATAATATTTAGTTCTTCCAAAATGTGGAAATGAGCTTTATTCAGAAGCATGACATGGATCCATGTGCTGTTGATTTTTAGTTGTAAT